TTTGCCTGTCCATAGGGACACAGTGCAGCACAGTGGTGCCAAGCAGGTTACATTTGGAGACGATGGAGTTTGAGGATGTAGGGCGTGTTTGTGTGCCTAATGTGGATGGACTTCGTGAGTTGATTCTTGAGGAGGCCCACAGTTCCTAGTATTCTATTCATTCGAGCGCCGCCAAGATGTATCAAGACTTGCAGAAACATTATTGATGAAGGAGAATGACAAAAAATATAGTGGCATATGTGGCTCGGTGTCTATTTTGTCAGCAAGTAAAGTACGAGCATCAAAGACCTGGTGGTTTACTTCAAAAGATAGAGATTCCTGAGTGAAAGTAGGAGCGTATCATCATGGATTTCGTTGTTGAACTCCCACGGACTCAGAGGAAGTACGATGCAGTTTGGGTCATTATGGATAGGCTGACCAACTCAGCGCATTTCATTCCTATGGTAGTTACCTATTCTTCAGAGTGGTTGGCAGAGATTTATATCCGCGAGATCGTTCGTCTTCATGCTATGCCTGTGTCTATCATTTCTGATTGAGGTACGCAGTTTACCTTGCATTTTGGAGGGCAATACAACGTGAGTTGGGCACGCAAGTTGTGTTGAGCACAGTATTTCATCCTCAGACAGACGGACAGTCCGAGCGCACCATTCAGATATTGGAGGATATGCTCTGCGCTTGTGTTATTGACTTCGGAGGCTCATGGGATCAGTTCTTACCACTTGCGAAGTTCGCCTACAACAACAGCTATCAGTCAACCATCCAGATAGCCCCCTCTAAGGCATTATATAGAAGACGGTGTCGATTGCTGGTTGGATGGTTTGAGACGGGGAGGGGGAGCTTGGTTATTAGGTACAGATTTGGTACATGATGCCTTGGATAAGGTTAAGATCATTCAGGATAGACTTCGCATAGCTCAGTCTAGGCAGAAGAGTTACGCCAACCATAAGGTCTGTGATGTTGCATTTATGGTCAGAGAGAGAGTGTTGCTCCGTGTGTCACGCATGAAGAGTGTAATGAGGTTTGGAAAGAAGGTCAAGTTGATCCCTAGATACATCGGGCCTTTTTGAGATCCTTGAGCAAGTGGGAGAGGTGACTTACAGACTCGTGTTGCCACCTAGTTTACAAGCGGTCCATCCAGTGTCCCATGTGTCCATGCTTCAAAAGTATCACGTCGATCCATCCCACGTGTTAGACTTCAGCACTGTCCAGCTGGATAAGGATTTGACCTACGAGGAGGAGTCGAAAGCTATTCTAGACCGGTAGATTCGTCAATTGAGATCGAAAAGTTATCCTTCAGTTCGAGTGTAGTGGAGAGGTCAGCCTGTTGAGGCAGCTACCTGGGAGTTCGAGTCCGATATGCGAAGTAGATATCCCCACCTTTTCACCAGCTCAGATACTTTTCTATGTCCGTTCGAGGACGAACGGTTGTTTTAGAGGTGGAGAATGTGATGATCCAAAAGGTTATCTTGTGTTGTAGAACTCAATTCTGCGCTTTTAAGCCTTAAAATCTCATTTTTACCCTCCTTGATTTGTGTGCACAGTCTAGGCGTGTTTTCAGAAAACTTTTATATTAAAAGTTGATAAAAATAAGAAATTTTTCCTAAAAGCTTCATTTAGGCTAACTTCGGTCAACATTTTTGGTAAACATACCTGAATTCATGTTTTGACGGTCCCAACGGGTCCTTGTCGTGATTTGGGACTTGGGCGTATGTACGAAATCGAAATAGGAAGTCCCTACCTTGAGATATCGAATTTTATCTAAATTTGAAAATTTAAGACTAAATGAAATGGAAGTGTTTGCCCAAGGTTTAACTTTTTAGATATCGGGTCCGTATTTTGGTTCTAGAACCCGATATAGATTCAATACCATATTTATGACTTGTCTGTGAAATTTGGTGAGAAAAGGAGTTGGTTTGGCGTGATTCGGACGTCCAGTTGAGAAAATAGAAATTTTAAAGTGTTCTTGAGAATTGCATTTGATTTGGTGCTAAATTTGTAGTTCTAGGTATTATTTTAGCGATTTGATCGCGCGAGCGAGTTCGTATTATGTTTTAAGACTCCTGTGAATGTTTGGTCTGGAGCCCCGGGGGCTCAGGTGAGTTTTTAATAGGCTACGAAGTGAAATTGGACTTGGGCATTGCTGGTATTTGCAATTTCTAGGAATTGGCCTCTGATCTCGCATTTGTGAGGTTAGAGTTTGCATTTGCGAGCATGACAGCTTCGCATTTGCGAGCTACCCATCACAAATGCAAATAGTAGCTGGGTTAGGCAGTCCTCGCAATTGCGAGGAAAACTTCGCATTTGCGAAGTGAGTCAGGGGAATGCATGATCGCAAATGCAATCATTTCTATCACAATTGCGAGGTGGAATATTCGCATTTGCGAACAAATCTTCGTATTTGTGAAGGAGCAGAGGTGTGAAGGAATTCACATTTGCGATGGTCCCTTCGTATTTGCGATGCCCGGGTCACAAATGCGATATCTGCAGCTATGTAAAAAGGGCTTAGACGGGATTTTTCTCCCATTCTTCAAATTTTCAAAGCCTAAAACATAAGAGGCAATTTTCCAAAGAACTTTCTTCCCCTAATCATAGGTAAATGATTCTAAACTAGTTTCTTTCAATCTTTCACTATATTTTTCAAGATTTCAACCTAGAATCTAAGGTTTTCATGGTGAAATTGGGGATTTTTTGGTAGAAATTACGGAGTTCGAAAATTGGGGATTTAGATCTCAAATTGAGGACGAATCCCAAAACTAATCATATATTCGGGCTCAAGGGTGAATGGATAATCGGGTTTTGATCCAAATTTCGGGTTTGGACCAAGGGGGCCCGGGTGTTGACTTTTGTTAACATTTTCAAAAATGGCCTAAATTGGATTCTTTGCAATCGTGGGTAGTTCCTAAGGCCTAAATTGAATTGTTTGGTTGGTAATTTGCTAGATTCTATTGGTCTGGAGGCTTGTTTGTAGGGAAAAGTTGTGGTTGAGCTTTAAGTTTGGCCGTTGGAGCGAGGTAAGTGTCGTGGTTAACCTTGGCTAGAGGGATTAGGTCCTATTTGCCTATTTGCTATGTGTTTGAATGTTTGGTACAACGTGTAGGTGAGATGATGAGTACATATGCGTTATTGTCGGGTTATAGTATGTGAGTGGGTCTTATTCTTGAAATTGTTGCTTTCCGTGATCATATTATCCATGTTTAGACTAGTTTTTCATTATGTCGATCATTCTTATCATGTTTACGGACTTGGGTATTGATTGAGTATTGATTCAAAGTTGAAATTGGTATTATGGAGCCAAATGTTAAAGTAAGGTATGTTCTTGTTATTTATATCTCCCTATTATTATTGTTCATTATTTTGGTGAGGGAGAGGTTAATGCACGAAGGGTAATGTCGTGCCAAAATTTGTGAGTGTTAATGCACGAAGGGTGATGTCGTGCCATATTGTGATCGTTAATGCATGACGGGTGATGTCGCGCCATGTTATGAGAGAGCTAATGGACGAAGAGTGATGCCATGCCGTTTCTATTGCTTCATATGGTGAGGTTGAAGGTAAAAGAACAAAGGGTGATGCCGTGTAGTTTCTTTTACCACTTTTACTTGCTTCTATCTATTTAGTTGATCAAGTCTGCATTACTGCTTTGGTTCCCTATCTTGTGATCCCTTCAGCATATCCCCCTCCCAATTTCACATGTCTTGTTTCTTTTATTACTGTTATTGGTATATATATGGTTATACTGTACAAGTTGTTTGTGGATGTCTTATCTTAGCCTCGTCACTACTTCGCCAAGGTTAGGCTTGACACTTACCAGTACATAGGGTCGATTGTACTGATACTGTACTCTGCACTTCCTATGCAGATTTTGGTGTCGATCTGAGCTAATTTTGAAACTAGCTACTGACTTCATTCTACGGGAAAACCAAGGTAGATTTGCCGGCATTCGTAGACCCTAGAGTCCCCTTCTAGCTGTTTCAGTTTACTGTTTCTTTTAATTCGAAAATAGTTGTACTTTCTTTCAGACAATACTTGTAGTTAATCTTAGAAGTTCGTGAATTATGACTCCAGATTCTGGATAGTATTATGTAATGAGGCTGTTATGAAATTCCGCATTCTTTTAAATTGTTATGGTTTAATTGTTGTTAGTTCACGGAAGAGTTTAAAACTTTGATTAATAAACTCTAGTGTTGGCTTGCCTATCAAGTGAAATATTAGGCACTATCACAGCCCCGATGGTGGGAATTCCAAGTCGTGATAGATTCTTGAATATTTAGGTGTTGACTAAGATAACGTTTGCCGAGTTATGTATATGTGGATGAGATGACAAGGAACAAATGAAACGATTCTACATTAGTTCTCATGCTCAAATAAAACTAAAGAAGAGTGGTCAAATTGATGATTCTACCATTGAAAAGATTGAGAATGCTTCCTTGTGAGCGCATAACTTCTTTCTTGGAATTCTTCTACAGCTATGAGCTGCATTTTATATGAGTTTTGTAATTGTATACCAAGTTGATGAAATGTCGGTGTGATAGGTAGCAAGAGGTGTAAGTAGCTTGTACATTCTTATCCTCATGTATGTGAAGTTAATCATTTTTCTTTCAATTTTACATAAGAATATATCTATGTTTGACATTACAATATGAAGGTTTACTCTACAAAATAGTTAATAAGTTATTTGGACTAGTCTTTTCATATTTGACATTTGATCTTACACCATGACAGCTACATATCTAGTTTTTAGTATTTTAAAATGCTAAAGTTTATGGATTGAATGCAGCAAGAAACCCTAGTTGAAAGGGAGAAGAGAGACGAGGAGAAGAGAAGAAGGAAATGAATGAAATAGTAACATTTTTCATTCTGCTCTAATGATCTGTACAGTAGCCTTTATATACAATGAGTTAACTTCTAACTAACCACTCTCCTACATGATTAACTTCTAACAACCTATCTAACAAACTTAACTAATCCAGCTATGTATAAATAGACTAAACTACCCTTCATACTTAAGTCACTCCTCTTTCCTCAACACTCCCCCTCAAGCTAGGTGATACAAAAACATTAAGAACACCTAGATTGGACATCAAGTACTCATGTTTCACTCTAGTTAAGCCTTTCGTTAAAACATTTGCAAGTTGTTCTTTTGTGGCAACATACTCTATCTTCACCAGCCCCTTTTGTATCTTTTCCCTTATAAAGTGACAATCGATCTCAGTGTGTTTGGTATGTTCATGAAATACTGGATTTGCAGCTATCTGGATTGCTGCCCTATTACCAGTGTGAATGGTCATAGAAAGAGCAACTTGCACTCCAATATCTTTAAACAATCCAAGTATCCAAACTACTTCTGCCACAGTCGATGCAATGCTTCTGTATTCTGATTCTTCAGAACTCCTAGAGATAGTGCTCTGCTTCTTAGACTTCCAGGACACTAGTGAGTCACCATAAATAAAGAAGAAGGCAATTACAGATTTTCTAGTGAGAGGATAGGCAGCCTAGTCAGCATCATAATGGGTTGTGACTATGTTCTTCTTCTCAGTAGACAACAGTATGCCTTGTCCAGGCTGATTTTTCACATATCTGACTACTCTTTGTACAACCTCCATATGAGATCTTTTGGGTTTCTGCATGAACTGACTTAGTGTCTGTACACTGAAGGCTATGTCTGTCTTGCAACAGTCAGATAAAGTAGTTTTCCTAGTAGGCTTTGATACTTGCTAGGATGAGGTAACAACTCATCAACTGTTGTGTTGTGGATACCTATATGTTCATCATAGTCCTTAGTGGTTAGTTTAGTGTTGGCTTCAATAGGTGTAACAGCTGGTTTTGCAGCTGCCAGTCCAAGCTCAGAGATTAGTTCCATGGTATACTTCCTTTGGTGCATTAGATTGCCTTGTTGTGACCTCGCAAACTCAATGCCAAGAAAGAATTTCAGTTCACCTTGGTCTTTCATTTTAAAGGCTTGCTACAGTTTGGCCTTGACTTCTTCTAATAACATCAGATCGGGTCCAGTTAGGAGCATGTCATCTACATACACCAAGATAACTATAGTGTGTTTGCATGTTTCTTTTATGAACAATGAGTGTTCATGTTGGCTCTGCATGAACCCAAACTTCAGTAGTGCTTCAGAAAGTTTGGCATTTCACTGTTTTGGTGCCTGTTTAAGTCAATATAAAGATTTTAGAACTCTGCATGCTGGTCTGCTCTCCCCCTGACTCTGAAATCCTTGTGGTAGAGTCAGATAGATCCCCCTGCAGAAAAACATTGTACACATCCATTTGATGGATATTCCAATGTTCATAAGAAACAACAACTAGAATTGTCCTAACAATAACCATTTTGACTATAAGACTAAAAGTTTCCTCGTAGCTAATGCCCTCTTGTTGGCTTAACCCTTGGCCACAAGTATGGCTTTGAACCTCTCCACCTCCCTTGTGGCTTTGTACTTCACTTTATATATCCATTAACAGCCAATGAGCACTTTATCAGCAGACAAAGGTACCACATTCCAAGTATGATTGGATTCTAAAGCAGTAATCTCAACTTGTATTGCATCAACCCACCTGGGATCTTTGACTGCTTCTTCAAATGTAGTAGGTTCTACTATTGAAGAAAAAACAGCTATATAGCATTGATACTTAGGAGACACACCATCATAGCAGATGTAGTTAGTAATAGAGTAAGGAACAGATTTGTAACTTGGACCTGTCACAAAATCCTTCAACCATATAGGAGCCTGCTTGGTCCTTAGAGATCTTCTCAGGTCAGTAGGGTGTTGATCAGCAGAAGGCAATAAGGTTGACACTCCTTCAGTGGTACTAGATAGTTGCTCTGGTACCTCCTGACTTGAGTCATCACCTACAGGACTTAGATTAGTAGACACAAGGAGAAGTTGCATGTCCAGAACTGTGAGGCTCATGTGAAGTTGATACACAGTCTGCACCATAAGTAGGAGGATCAGAGGATAAAAACACAGGTGGAGATGAATGAGACTCCTTAAAGGGAAAAATATCCTCCCCGAAGGAGACATCCTTACTGATGAAGAAACAATTAGTAGCAAGATCTAGTAACACATAACCCTTTTGAGTATCAGAAAAACCCATAAGAACAATAGGTTTGGCCCTAGGAAGGAGCTTATTTGTCTCTTGAACTTGCTTGGCATAACATAAGCAACCAAGAACTCTCAGATGCTTCAATATAGGTTCCTGTCCATATAGCAGCTCAAAGGGAGATAAGCCATTGAGAACATACGTTGGCATTCTATTGATAATATAGACAACTACAATAATACAATGACCCAGTATTTAATAGGAATATGTGCTTGAAATCTCAAGGCCATAGTTACCTCCAGAATATGCATGTGTTTCCTCTTAGTAACTCCATTTTGCCGAGGGGTATATGCACAAGTCTTCTGGTGAATAATACCATATTTTTGAAATAGGGCATGGCAGACAGAATTAACAAACTCAGATCCATTATCAGACCTAACTGCCTTTAGAACTTTGTTGAATTGAGTTTGAACAAAAACAACAAATTGAGTAAGAACTACACAAACATCATACATTAGTTTAAAGAGAAACAACCAAGTCATTCTAGTGAAGTCATCAACCACTGTTAGAAAGTATCTATGGCCATCAAATGTTGTATATTTGCTGGGGCCCCAAACATCAACATGAATTAGATCAAAAGCAGCAGTACTTTTAATAAATCTATTAGGAAAGGGCAGTCTGGTTTGCTTAGCACATGGACATACATTGCATTTATTTATGATGTCACTAATATTTGCTAGTTTGGTAGGAAATAACTTATTAAGAACTATGCTAGACACATGTCCTAATCTTTTGTGCCACAAGCTAACATCAATAGTAGAGTTCCTCATGTGTGACTTTATTCTAGCTGCAGCCAATAAGATTGCAGTAGCTTCTTGGAGCCATGCCTTTGCAGGAAATACAGGCCATCTCTCTCCCTACCAGTCTCCCTCACCCTGCCACTGAAGAGATCTTGAAATACATAGAAATTAGGATAAAAGGAAGCAAAACATCTTAAGTATTTTGTCACTTTGGAAACTGACAACAAGTTGAATTTGAACTGAAGCACATAGAAAACTTCTTTAATGACATTGTTGTCTGAAATATGACTATATCAAGTGTGTGTGACTTAAGTGACATCTCCATTAGGTAGTAGAACTTTTCTGGGATCAGTGGGAGCAAATAAGGAGGTTTTGGTTAACAGATTAATATCTAAAACCATATGGTTTGTGGCTCCTATGTTAATGATCCATTCTTGTGGACTAGGTGATGATGCCAAAAGAGCAATGATAGTACCTGCTGCATTTGCCTGAGAAGTAGATGATGAAGTGCCATTGTGACTGCTGTTCAGGATCTGCATGATTTGCTCATACTGTTCTTTGGTGAATGGAAAACTACCTCCTTGAGTTGATGGCTTGGCATTTACAACACCTTGAGCCTGTAAAGCAGCAGGGCCAGCCTGAACTTGAGCACTAGAGCTCCCTTGTACCCGATAGTTTTCAGTACCCTGACTCATATCATGATGATGACTATAGTTTACAGGCAGTGACTGCAATGGTACATACTGAGAGGCACTTTTAGCATATAGAGGCATAAAGTAACCAGATTCTACCATTACATTGTGTGCACTAGCTTCCCCTTTCTTCTTGAACTTATAATCAGAGGGATAGCCTATGATTTTATAACAATTTTCCTTACTATGACCTTACATTTTGTAGAAATCGCACTGAACATTATAGTTCTTTCTAAATTTTGGGTTAGAGTTAGACTTAGCACTATAGAGTACTGGTGAGTCATATGTATTTGCATTCACAATAGGAGGAGGACCTAACACACCAGGTGATGCAACTACAACCCATTGACTCTCATCACTCATAAGTATAGCATAAGCTTGATTCACCATTGGTAAAGGCTTCATTATAAGGATTTGACTATGAGCTTGTGAGTATGAGTCATTTAAGCCAATTAAGAACTGATATACCTTTTGTTTTCGTAAATGCACAATAAACTCCTTTGTTTTGGCACAATTACACCTAGGAGTAGGTATTACAGACTCAGATTCATCCCGAAGATCTTTAAGTTTTGAGTAATAGACAGAAATAGAGGAGGTACCTTGACACAAAGTGGTTGTTTCCTTGTGTAAATTGTAGCAGCGAGTGTCGTTTACCTTATCAAAACTCTCCTGTAGATCTAGCCACGCTGTTTGTGCAGTGGCATAGGCTATACCACTAATTAGTGAAGGAGAAACTGAGTTCATCAACCACGACAGTACGATAGCATTACACCTTTCCCACTGATACCAATGCTTGTCGCAAAATCTCTCCTTTGACCACCTGCCATCTACAATTCCCACCTTATTGCGACCTAGTAAAGCAATCTGCATAGATCAATACCATAAGGAGTAACTATCAGTTCCAGTTAACTGAAATGAAATCAAGAAAATGCCGCTAGTATCACCGGGGGCAAGATACATGGGATGAGTCAAAACTACTGTAACACCTTCCTCGAATTCGTCATCCGATGAAACATGCGATGTATTCTCAGCAGTGATAGTTGCGTTTTTCATCATCAACCGCCATTGTTGAGTTATTCAAAGCTTTTGATCTGAGAAATTGAGATCACAATTGACTAAAAAAATAGAGAATAACAGTTGAACGTAGAGCAGATAAGAGGATTTGGATCGATTTTGAGCTTCGATTTGGAGCTCAAAGCTCTGATACCATGCTAAAGTTTATGGATTGAATGCAGTAAGAAACCCTAGTTGAAAGGGAGAAGAGAGACGAGAAGAAGAGAAGAAGGAAATGAATGAAACAATAACATTTTTCATTCTGCTCTAATGAGCTGTACACATGGGTGGATTTAGGGGGGGCGGCAGGGGGTTCACCCGAACCCCCTTCGCCGAAAAATTACATTATATATATAAGGCAAAATCTATTTTTTTACCTCTATATATTAAGTTTTGAACCCCCTTAACACAACCCAAAAGTGTAGTTTAGTGGTCAAGGGGGTTCAAAATCTTTTTATAGGTTCAATTCCCACTAGCTATAATTTTTTTTTGAACCCCCTTCGTGGAGATCTTGCCTCCGCCACTAGCTATACAATAGCCTTTATATACAATGAGTTAACTTCTAACTAACCACTCTCCTACATGAATAACTTCTAACAGCCTAGCTATCTAACAAACTTAACTAATCCAACCATGTATAAATAGACCAAACTACCCTTCAGGCTTAAGTCACTCCTCTTTCCTCAACCTATCTAACAAATTGTTAGGATATATTTTGGTAATCTTCCATTTTATTAAAAAAATTGTACTGATTAATATATGATACATGTGCAATTCCGAAAACTAGTATATAAATGAAAGTTCTCATGTAAATTCAAGAAATGAAATATTCTGTAATCTGATATTGCATGGTAAAAGTTCTAAAATCTCCTTTTGTCATATTAAGATAGTAGTATCATAAATGTAAACAGGAACCTAACTAATTTATCTTCTAAAACAGGCGCCTCCATTTTGGCTATGTTTTTGGATGAATGATCAAAGGAGTAAATCACAATAGGTTCCAAATCGGTATGAAATTGACCGTTTGATCTGTGATCCTTAATTAATTAAGTTATGCAAATATACAATAGGTTTGATACGAGACCTCAATTTTTATGTTCATTTCAAATGCAATACAGGTATAGAATAAAATTTATGCTTTCTTTACCTTTCATTTTATGTGAGTTATCACTTATGATTGACATACTATTTTTACGGTCATAACTTCATGAATTGCTCCTTATCTCTGAAATAATCTCATATTATCCATGCACTAATGTGTCCAAAATGTGAATTTTTCAAAAATTAAATGTATAAAAGAACGAATATATTTTTATTCTCTAAACCATATATAATTTAACTTTCACTCATCAATATTCTGAAGTGAGCACAAACTTAAAATCTAAACATTATACTGTAGTTGCTTAATGCACGAATTGTTACACATTACATTTATGTCTAGTTAAAAAAAAGTTGAAGTAGTAAATTAAGGCAAACCAATTTTTAGTATTAGTATTAAATCGTCTCTCTCTGATAGGACGTTCTATTATCTTTTGAAGTACTAAGACTTTTCGTAATAAGATAAAACCGAAAATAAAAAAGTAAACATAAACTAAAATTAGGGGTAAATTTGCGAAATGCATTCCCCAGTACAAAACTCATAATCATTGAAGCGGTTAAAGGCGTCAGCATCCTTATCTCACCGTTGATATGTGTTTTCATCCAACGGCACACAAGCTCAATCTGCGTGATCCACTCTCATTGGCTGAGTTAAACCCATTTGGGCTATAAAATACCAAAACCGAACCACTTCCGTCGCACGCATACAGAGCAATTCAATTCAATTCTTTCAAGCACAAAGCAAAATTTGTTGTTTTACAGTAGCAAAATAGTATTAATGGCTGGTAGAGGAAAAACCCTAGGTTCCGGTGCTGCAAAGAAAGCTACGTCCCGTAGTAGCAAAGCCGGTCTCCAATTCCCCGTTGGTCGTATCGCCCGTTTCCTCAAAGCCGGCAAGTACGCCGAGCGTGTCGGCGCCGGCGCTCCCGTTTACCTTGCTGCCGTCCTTGAGTACCTTGCAGCTGAGGTGAATTCCGTCGTTTCTTCTCTCTCTCTCTCTCCCTCTCTCTCCCTCTCTATTTTTTTGGTTGATATATCTCAAAATTTTAGGGTTTCTAGTGTTTGTGAATGACTCAATTTTACGTAGCAGCTGATTGTACGTGATTGTTATAGGTACTTGAATTGGCTGGAAATGCGGCGAGGGATAACAAGAAGACGAGGATTGTTCCAAGGCATATTCAGTTGGCTGTGAGGAATGATGAGGAATTGAGCAAATTGCTTGGAGATGTGACAATTGCTAATGGTGGTGTTATGCCCAACATTCACAACCTTTTGCTGCCTAAGAAGGCTGGTGGCTCCTCAAAGCCCTCTGCTGATGAGGATTAAATAGATGGCCAATTTGGAAACGAGAGCTGTATGATGTTTTTGTTAGTCTATAGAGAGATTTAGATCATGAAATTAAGCCCCCGCCCCCAAATGTGGAATGTTATTTCCTTAGTTCTGCTAGTTGTCAGGGTTTATGTTAGTATGTGAATACAAATCAAGGGATGAATGAAAACATCATTTTCGGTCTTTGAATTCTATCTATTAAAGTATCTCCTTGTATTGATAGATATCTATATTATTCATTGATTTAGCCAAGAAAGCTGTCTCTCATATACTATTTAGTCAATGTAGCTGTCTCTCATATACAATTTACTAGAACCTGTTACCTTTTAAAGTATGTTAAAATGGATTTGCGATTGTCTTTTTCAGTTGTTTCCTGATTTTATTTGATTTGTATTTATGTTGTTGACATTTTGGAAGATTGCCTGTGTACCTCTGATCTCTTTGAATGTAAAGGAAATACTAAGGTTTTTTTATCAAGGGAAAAGAAGTATTTAGTTCTTGCTAGTTTTATATTCTGACTTATTTAAACATCTTCCTTTCCTGATGATAATCATCTGTAGATAGCCTCTAAAAATTGTAATACTGTGTCTACAGCTTTAACTATCTTTATTAGGGATATGTATTCTTCTGCTTGTAATTGAGTTGAGTGATTTGTTTGGTTGTCACACTTGAAAATTGAAGTCTGAAAGATCTGTTTTTGATCTTGTATCTAATCAATAATTCTACATACATCTCATATCTGTTGATTGAAACAACGAACACCATTCCCTGATATGGAAATGATGGTTTGTTGTGCCAGGTGAACACAGAACAGGTAATGGTCACATGAAGCATGTGTTAACTTATACTTTCATCGCTTTCAAGTTCATTTATTAGGTAGCTGATTGTGTTAAATGTTTTATGGAATAAATGAGTTAATTTTCATGATGTCTCACATAATGAGGTTTTTTCTCTTAGTGACATGCAAAAGGAGCTTTATAGATTTCACTTTAGTATTTTGAGGGTTGTGGTATCCTTTGCATGATTAGATTCAGTTTTCCATCTTTTCTATTGTTGACAAGCATGTCTATTAGGCATGCATATTTATTATCTCAGGTACTGAACTGTTTCTTAACTATCTATCTATATGGTTAGACGATTATTTATTTACCTGTTTATCTTTTAGTTTCAGAACCCTCCTAATTCCTTGATGGGTGTTGGTGTGTGGGAGCAGATTCGTCTTCCTGCATATAACAGGCACGGTGCTTTTATGTTCAATCTTCTGCAATTTTAAAGTGCTATTTCTTCTTTTATGCTTCAATTGATAGTTCCATTGTATTTGCTTGTAATGTCTTCTTCCTTGTTTCGTGCTTACATTGGGAAGAAACATGGATGCGCTAGTGATGGATCAAGACACTTTCATGCCCCGATACTGTTTATGAATGTTAAGTGAAAAGTGAAATTTAGAGAATGTCATCTGAATCTGACGTGAGAAACCAGATAGTTTTATCCACTTAAATAAGATAGGAGTGGGGAAGAACAAAATTTGAAGGTTCAGGAGTTTTGCATAAGAGCTAAGATTCATATCGTTCAATGATAAACTCTCCTTCACATGTTTAAGTGGATTTGTAGAAGTCTTAGGCCCCTTCAACGTGTGAAGAACTTCTCTTTCTTTTTCCCGGCCCGCGACGCTATACTGCAGTAGCTAGTATGATCTCATGTATCAAGTTATGCTCTTGCTTTTAGCATTTTAAACTTTTCCGTAGGACTTTCAGTTGCCGGTAAGAACGTTACATTTTCAGAGATCATCATGAGGGAAGGGTGCATTCGTGAGGAGCTTTAGTTATCTTCTTCTCTTTCAATTATTTTAGGTTTTTTTACCTCCTTTAGTTGTTTAATTAATGAATTCCTCTCTTTCTTGACATGTGGAACTCTATTATGTCTGGTAAATCTGTTTTTTCTACTGTCCACCGTTAATCTACTATGCCTTGTGATATTCCTTATGCATGCCGAACTGTCTGATAAGTGGCCTTTGTATTAACTGGACATTTTAGGAGTGTGTCATATTGCTTCACAAAGCTTAAATAAATGTTTGAAATAACCATTATGGGGATTTGGAGGAGAAAGTAAAGATGTGCATGGAGGCTTTACATAATCTTGTGGAGCGCTTGAAGAATCCTTGAAATGCACTTGTCAAAAAAAAAAAAAAAAGAATCCTTAAAATGTAATCCTGCCAAATTGTGATGTCGTGACATATAAAGAATGCTTTAATATGCATCGAATGTGGTAGACTATTAACTCCAGCTCTGCTCTTAATTTTGACTCATAGGATTGAATGCAGAAATATTACTAAAAGATTTGCCTCAGATAGTAATGAAGCTAAGACTTTCAACTTTTCGTCTCAAAGCATTATATCACAGAACTAATATCTCTACTACTAAAGTGAACTATATATTAGGTTGATGAAGGTTTTGTTTCAGCAAATAGTTGAATCATGTGTATAGGAGAATGACCCTTTTTTAACCTCAAACAATGCTTCCTTCTTTGTAATTGAGAACGATTTCATATTTACCGCTTAAGCCATGTAAAAGTTGAGCATATTAGTAGATGTAATAGTGAGCGGTTTTGTATTGGAAAAAAGATACTTCCAATTCTGTTATTATTCTGAAACATAATAATAGTATGTACTACTCTAGATACTATTCATAGTCAATTTGACATGTTCTTGGGTTTTCTTTGTTCATCAAAAGAAACTATTGTTGTGCATAATTACCGGTGATGATTTTGCAAAATAATGGTGATTGATCTTGGATTTGATTATAGGCTTTTCTCTGGAAGTTTTACTGTTTGAAGGTTAATAATTTAACCAGTTTCCTCTTGGGATCCTTTTCCTGATGATATAGCGGAAAAATCAGGTACATTATTAAAGTATCCACTGCTGGTGTTTTCTCTATTTAGATCCTGTGGTCAAAGTGGGAATCGGAGCCCATTTCTTCACATAAACTTAAGTTTCCAGTTGAAAACATGTAGCTGTGTGTTCTTCAAGGTAATTCTCATCTCTGTTTGATTAAATCTGTCTTCCTTTAGAAAATAGAGTAAGCAAAGATTCAAGAAGGGGGCTTTAGATTTAATGGGGCGAGTGGTACTCGGTGGTGTTACATCAGCTGCAACAAGAATTAGCAGCTATCATTTTCACGCGATGTTGTTTATGATATATTTTTAGAAATAGCTCTAAAGAGTAGGATAAAAAACTATGCACTGTTCTGGTGAAAGTGTATTCTTTTCGTTGAGACCTCCTTTGTCTGTCTTAATATATCAATTTAATTTTTGTTTAGAACTTGTACTTTATCCTTTCTGTCTCTTTTGTCTGTCTTTCTGTATGGTTGGTTGTTCTACGGACGGGTGCCAACTTTCCCGTAATCTGCCTCATGCGAAGTCCCTATGTGACGGATTTATTTTTTGATCGATCGTTTTAAAGAAAAATGTTTGAAGGATCTGCATTTGCATCCTTCCTTTGGTGGATCATAATTTGATGTGCAATTCCATGGTATATTGTTTGTTTACCAAGATGGATCGTCCCATCATGCCATGTAACGTATTGCAACAAGTTCATTCCTACCGAATAGATTTACTCCTATATTTGTACGTACTGGTATAATCGTATCTTGTTGAACTAGTTAAGATCATGCAGATTGAAATTTATACCTATTATACATAGATATGCCTACTTGTTCAACTTATAGAGTACATATTCATTGCAAAATCGCTCATATAAGAAAAGTTGTAAAATGTGAAGCAAGAATTGATTTCACGTTCACTATAAAATTGGAGTTTTTCTTTTCTTCAATTTGCGATGACTACAAATTTCTGACATTTGAGAACATTCAAAAGGTTTTAAGTAGCGGGGAAGTTGTTAGATGTATGGCACTGGGTAGGGGTGGGCATATATCGGGTAAAACCGATAACTCGAACCGTTAATTACTTATTGGGTTATCGGTATTGGGTTATTGGGCTAATGGTTCGGTAATGGGTAAAAAAAAATTTCTTATTGGGTTATCGGTTCGGGCTCGGTTTATTAATTCTGTTATTGGGTAAACCGATAACTCAATAAGGGTTTACTAATTTACTAGTCTACCCTTTGCTATTTGTTATTGGGCAAATAGTATTGTTAATTGTTTGAAAGAGTGGGGGTTACAAAAGATTTTCACTGTCACGGTTGATAATGCTAGTTCAAATGATGTGACGGTGAAGGAGCTTTCTAAGAAGTTAACTAAATGGGGGACCAATTCTATGAATGGTAAGCACCTTCACGTGAGGTGTATGGCTCATATTATGAATCTTGTTGTTCAGGATGGTATAAAAGAATCAATTGTGTCTATTGAACGTATTAGGCAAGCAGTGAGATATATCAGGCAGTCTCCTGCTAGGTGGAAAAAGTTTCAGGAATGTTGTGATGAAGGAAATCTAGTTAGGAAATCTTTATGTTTGGATGTTCCTACAAGGTGGAATTCTACATACTTAATGTTGAACAGGGCTATTGAATATGAGAGTGCAATTTTAGAATATGTTGATCATGATATTGGCTTGTCACATCATCTTGAGTTTGTTGATATTGTAAATGGAAGTCCTGCAGGTACACTTTTGAGTAGTGATTGGGAGGATGTAAAGAAATTGACAAAATTTCTTGAAATCTTTTATAAGCTTACTGTAAAGGTATCTGGCTCACTTTATGTTACATCAAATCATCATTTTCTTGAAATTTGTGAAGTTGCTGTTTACTTGAAACAATTGATATTAAATGAAGATGTTTTGTTGGGTTCAATGGCAAAGAAGATGAAGGAGAAATTTGATAAGTATTGGGGTGATCCAGAAAAAATGAACAAAATGATTTTCATTTCATGTGTTTTGGATCCTCGGTACAAGTTTGATTCTGTTAGTTTTGCACTTGCGAAGATGTTCGAAGAGAAAGGGCCAATTATCGCGAAGGGAGTGCATACATACATGACTTCATTGTTTGATGAGTATGTAAAGTCTTATTCAAAAGATAAAGTTTGTCGTCCCTCTTCATGTTTATCTAACTCTTCATTGGACACAATGGAAACTTCAAATGGATCTTTTGGTTCTTTCTTTGAAGAATTAAAAAGACATAAAGCTGGGATTGGAGGTTCAGATTCTAAATCAGAATTGGAAAAATATCTAACAGAAGAAGTTGAAAATGAAATAGCAGACGGTAATATATTG